TTGCCTTCTGCCCTCACCTCCCTGGACACGGAATCCAACTTCTCCTGAGTTCCTGGTGGCTCCCGGGTCTGCTCGGGCTCCTGCAAGTGCAAAGACTGCAGGTGCATGTCTTGCAAAAAGAGCTGTTGCTCCTGCTGCCCTGCTGGCTGTGGCACACGTGTGCCGAGGGCTGCATCTGCCAAGGGGCATCGGACAAGTGCAGCTGCTCTGCCTGACTGGAGAGAGCCCTGCTCAGATGTGAATACTGACCTGTACAAAACCGGAGTTTTTTCATACAGCCCTAAATGGTGGTTGTTTCTTTTTTCTACAAAAAATTTGAATGTTAATCATAAAATTTGACCATTTTTTGGGGAAAAAAAAAGATGTAATGAATGTTGTTCTTCTTGAATTATATTTCAGATTTCGGGTCTCTGGTACCCTAAAACACCTCTTAATGTGCTGTTGTGAGTATTCATGGAATCCAGATCTGTCAACTATTTCTGTTTTAAGTTGAAGACTTGGCAAAGTTACACACCCAGCAGCCAAGAGAGAGAATGGAAATGTCTCACAAGTAACTGTAAAATCTGTTGCGTTGTTTTAAGATTTGACTACTGAAAAAAAAATCCTAAATATTGTCTTGGCAACAATAAATATATTTAGCAATGATAAAAACTTTTAGAGTAATAGTTAAAAGAGATCTGAAATCTAATGTGTCTGCCACTAGTAATTATCTACATGTCCAATATATCTACCCCACCCTTCATTAAATGCTATGGAATTTACCAATCAAATGTTTAGCTTTAGTGTTTTATGAGTGACATTATTTCACCATTGGGCTAATGATCAACTTCCCCTTTGCTAGTTTTACTCAGGTAATGTGGAAAAGGGGTCCATTGGATCAGTCCAGCAGCTCTAATCTGAAGTACTGTTAAATGCACACTTCCAGGAAAATTTCACATCAAGTCGATTTTTAGAACTCTGGCTGTTTTTTTCAGATCGGCACACATATCCTTGGGAAACGTGAAGTCACTCCCATTCAGTTCTTAAGATTGTTTTAAGAAAGAGTTAAGATATATATATATATATATATCCATTTTAAGTTATGTTTTTTATACTCACTCCTTTTCCCATCTTATCATGTTTATATTTTTTCCCAAGGCATCATTTTTATCAAGCAACATGATATTTGAACTATTACTTTTTAAAAGGTTCTACACTTAGAATTATCTCCCTGCATTTGTTTTCACCCTTAGGCACCTCTTCTCTTCCTCCTTCCCTGAAAGGGAACAATCAAATCCATACACATGCAAAACCACTGGAAGACAGTACTTGTCTTTCCTGGATGGCAATGATTTCCATTAAAAAGACAAAGAAACAACTGAAACTGCTCACTTTGTTGGTAAACTCACCCAGTTTAGCAACTATCAGATAGGTAAGTTTACAATAGTCCTCAAGGTCAGTCTGTCGTTTTCTGAGCGCTCGTTTGGAAGGCAGCTTTATCAGCTTAGCCTGGCTGCTTGCTGTGGGTAATATTTCCAAACAGCATGTAGACAGAATTTTTTCATTTTTATAATTTGATTATTTCATTTCCACTGCCTCCCAAGCCTGCATTGTCACGATGAATGGCTGGCTAAAAATATATCCATTCACAAGAAACATTATGTCTAATCACCTTTTACTTGAAAATTAGCATGGGCCTTTTACATTTTTAAACCACCTCAGCCAGGTGGTTTAAATGCTAAGTGGCTTAACCGCTTCAGGTAACCGCTTCAATTCTTCTGCAGGGGAGTCCTGGAAAACGCAAGCAATGAGATGCAACTTTAAAAAATCCTGACCCTTGCTGTCACATTAAACTGAAGGGAGAATAGAACTGCTGGATGTTATCGCAGTGACGCGTTATACGATATCATACACGTTATTTAACGTGTGGAGCACAAAAGTCACATTCCACCCAAGAATTGAAGGGTCTCAGTCCGCTCAGTCATCTGGGACTGTATAAATGAACCATTCTCTGCCTCCCCCGAGGCAAACCCCCCCCCCTCCCGCGTCCTCTTCCCTTCCTCCCTCCGCCCATTTTAAATGTAGATAGAGCGGGCCAAGCCTTTTGAATGTGAAGGGCTGCTATCTTGGACCCATTCTTTCCATCATCCTGTTTTGAATGACACTGAGCACGTATAGATTCTTTTATAAAGCAGCCCCTGGGTGCAGGGCCTGGGCCCTCCCGGGCGTAGGATAATTTTACATAATAATTAGCAAGGACTTCTCTTGGTCTGCCTTCCAAATTTTGCTGGAGACAGTTCCCCTCCGTTCCTCCCAGGTCTTAGATAACGTACACTCCTCTGGCTTTTGATTTAAACTCCACGGGGGAAGAAACGTGCTTAATTACTAAATTCTCAATTGGAGGAGTCTGGAAGAGGTTACGAAGAACCCCCGACCACATGTTAATTCAATCCTGCGCCGCGACTGGACTGCAAGGAGCCAGCATATGCCTTCTTTTTAAATCAATTTTACCTATTCACTGACCGCGCGGGGCTGGCCACATGGTCCTCTCTCGCAGCCAGTCAGCTGTGAGTAGCAGATGGGATCATTTGCATTTTTCTCTTTTTATACTTCTCTCCGATCAGCAAATTAGTTTTCAAAATTTACATTCTCATTGTTTGCCTGAAATATCGACGTGGTGGAACCGTGGAATT